GAGGAGGAGAGTTAAAAGTAAAAGAGCCACACTGACAGCTCTCTGCAATCCTCCCTATGACCTTGCAACCCAGACAAATCTTACAACAAAATATTAGCAGGTGCAGACACCACAAGAAACCGCTGATGCAGCTCAGTCTTACTTCACTGCACTTGCTCAGAAGTTTGTGTTATGACTTGTATCACTGTGAGAGGAATACTTTGATCCTGTTGACAATAGTAAGTGGCAATGTCTTCAGGTTGCACGTTGATGATGGTGAGGGAATAGTCTGTCCCAGATCCACTGCCTCTGAACCTTGATGGGATCCCTGTATGCAAGCTGGATGTCTTATAGATTAAGAGTTTAGGAGCATCTCCTGGTTTCTGTTGGTGCCACGATAACCAACTATTAATGTTCTGGCTGGCATGACAAGAGATGGTGACACTGTCTCCCATAGATGCAGAGAGAGTGGATGGAGACTGGGTCATCTGAATATCACATTTTCCACCTAAATTTGGAAATATAAAATAAAATATGGTGTTAACCATAATATAAAATAACTTTCATAAAGAGCAATGCAGCACTCACCACACTGTTCTCTACTTCTGTCTTTCTTACCTGCAAACCAGAGCAACAGCAGCCCCAAGAGCTCAGGAATGACCACCATATTGATGCTGTATCTTCACTGAGAATAGCTTCTGCACATGGAGTTCCCACACTCTGAAGAAATACTCATAGTGGTGGGCTGTGATCTGACCACATGCAAATTAGCAAGGATGAGTGGGGGTGGAGCCATATTCAGGATTGGCTGGCCTCATCTTATGGACTCAGCAGAAATATGAGAATGCTCAGGAATTCAAGACAGTGGAGAGCACAACAGATTTGACTTCAAATAACATGTTTATTTATATGGGTCAAAGAAAAGTTTCAGTGTAGGCATATATAACATATGTGTTGTTTTTATCAGTACTTGTTCCTCTTTCATAAGTTGTGTCTATTTAACTTGTATATTTTTTGATCTGGAACTGCTATTGAATTGAACATAAAAAAA